GCAGGATAATCTCAACAGACCTTGGATGCTCGAGCCGCCACCCCGCATTGAAGAACCCTTGCAAACTGTATGGACAGGCAGGAGTCGGTGCCGCAGCTGTCGCGCGTACGAATACATGTAGTCAGGTGCACTGCAGCACGAGAGAAAAATTGCATATACATACGTTTGTGACATATTGAGCTTAGCGAGACACGGCGGAGATACTGTTCGGAGGGAGTAAGCAGAGGCGGGGTATGGTGGTGACCAGGAGGAAGAAGCGGCGAGAACGGAAGGCCATCGACGCCTTCTATATATGCAGTTTCATAAAAGGAAACTCGCCGGGAGTGACTTTAGGGGAGGTCGAAGGAATCTTGGTGGGCAGACGGCGTGGATGCGATGGGCGGCGAGAAACACGTCTCGGAAAGCGAGACGGATGACGTCATGTCATAACCGAGATCTGGGCGAGCAACTCATGTCATGTTTAGTGGTATCAGGATAGGATTCAACTTATAATAACATACCGGTCTGAGTTACGATTTGCAATGCAATACCAGTCAGGTATCGCGTGTCCTTGCATTGCCAGCGTTCGCCATCCTGTTAGGCGCTTGCCTGGCAACTCATCCTGATCTATAACCGATTTTTTTGCTGATGAGAGGGAAGGAAAATGATGAGTCTGCGCAACATCGGAAGAGGCACAAGGAACTCACTTTCACCCAGGAATACTTCTTTGTGTCCTTGGTAGCCTCCTTAATATACTTTGTGATCCATTTGTTAGATTTGTACTTCTCCTCGAGCTTCCTCAGTTCCGTTGTGAGGGCTCGGCCCGGCAGGATGTCGCCAACCAGCGTGGCAGTGGAATCGTATCCTCGTTCCTCATCGCTGCACTTGGCGAGGCACCAAAAGAACATGAGCAGAGGCTCAGGGTTCTCCACCCAATCATGTGACTCTGAAACAATCGCACCTGAACAGTCCCATCGCATGAAGCAAACATATCGTTCCTGGATGAAAGCAGTGAAGAGGAAGCAACGATGCTGACGGATGTGGACTTCCATGACGTAGCTGATCATCTGGGCACAGGAATCCCGGCCATCCGGCGGTGAAGTCGTGCTGCATTGTGGCTGGTCCTTCAAGGTCACTGTGAAAGGCTTGCCGCCAAAAGTGAACGGGGCCAGCCTAGGATCTGTGTTGACTTTGATAATCGCAACTGCAGAAGTTCAGGCCGTGTGACCATGGTGCTCTTTGGCTTTGTGTTCCACCTTCTTCTTGAGGTAGTAGGATGCCTCCGGGTAGGGCATACCTGGTTGTGACGTGGAATACAGGATTAGATTGGGCTTAAGGTCGTGCACACCACTTTTGGAGTAGGTGTAGGTGATGGCCAGGAAGAAAGGTAATTTCAGCTCCTGAAGCATCGTGTTGGCAGCCTCAGCCTGAAAGCACATGTGATCAGCAACTACACACAAATCCATGGATTGCATACTCACGATGGGTTCATAGGTCTTCGTTTCTTCTCCCTTCTTGACGGAAGCGTTGGTAAGGATTGACTTGAGTCGATATAGTATCCCGGAAATTGCCTTTGCGAAATCGCCAACCAGCTTGGCCCCGAACACGTGCAGAAGGAAGTCCGGAGCTTCGCAATAGAACTCATTCATATCCATATTTGCTTGCTTGACTCATAAACCCTCGTGTTCCGGTGTCAGCTCCTGATTCCCCGTGGTCGCCTTATGCGGCGTCGTCCTCCTAGAGCCATCGTGTACCGAGCCAGTCGCGAATGGCGGAGCGTTGTGCGATGATGGTTTGGCAGTGCTCGGACCTTTCTGACGCTGCCGAGATTTGGGAGCAGTTGGCCCTGGACGAGATGTAGACTGAGGGCGGGATGGTTCACGGGCAGCGGCGGTGGGGATTTTGGGGGTACGCTCTAAATGTTCTGGTACGCGGGTAATTTGATGGGTCAGTAAGCTTGGTGTATGTTAATCGAATCATATTGACATACATATGTTGTGCGCGAAGACTCTTGTGGCGAGACGGCTGCGACCTGGGCGAAGGACGGGCGGGAAGTATCACTGTGAGGGCAAGACTAAGAAGACGGCTCAGTCCTTTGGCCTCCGGCTGTGGATGAAGATAACGATGGGGATTTCTCATAAAGGGGTCATGTGGGGCTTTTCTACCTGAGACGAGCATATTAAATCTTTTTCAGAGTCTGCAGCTGAACAAGGTCAAGAAGATTGTGGGCTTCCCGAAAGCTTAGTGTTGCAGACGTGTCACCCTATCCTTACAAAAGAATGTGCCTCTCTGGATGCGCGATGCACCAGAGCTATGTTCTTGAAGTCCGCCTGGACGTTTGGCACTCCGGTTTGATCTTTCGTTGTCACAAGCTAGCTAGCTGTGCCGTACTCCACGCACGGGGTACCGGCTTGGGATGAATATTACAAGCTTTCGTGACCTCTTCCTATCCCTCGCAGTTCTTTTCGATATTCCCTTTCTATCCAACAGGCCGAGCGAGATGAAAGGAGGAAAGCAAGTGGCCGGGGTCTGCCAACACCCTTGTCACTTTGTGGCGCTTTCAGGCGCCCAGTGCGACTCAAGCTTCACATGGCCCCGACGACGTGGATGATAGCACCCGAAAGAGAGGACCGGGCCGCGCTGAACAAGATATCACGATGGAGTTTGTCGCCGCGCGGATTAGTATGAGCTTTCGGGACAAACATACCGATGGTACACATACTGCTACAAGAATCATGGCCAATTGTCTATGAAATAATGCATATGTTATTTCTGGTGTACAAGTCAGTGAGATCCCTTTGAAGAAATCGGCCAAGACGGCAGAGCGGAGTGCCGCCGACAACTCGAGTGACGGTCGATGACAAGTGGCTTTGGCGCCCGTACGCGTCTCACACCCGTTCTTGACCAGAGACCACGATGATCCCGACGCCAGACCTCTCACATCTGACCACTGCGGACTATGAGCACGTTTACGAGCCTGCGGGTGTGTCTTGAACCTCACCCACGTCTCTGAATGACTAGATCTTGCCTTCGCCAGAGG